TTGGTCCTCAAGCAATATATGTTGTTGGTCGCGATGATGATGAGTCAATTACAGGTGGAAGTGAAATTAGTGATGATGCAGCCAGCTGGGAAACCGTTGAGGATGATGAGATGGATACTATTGAGAATGCTGACGAGGTTTATACTAAATGAAATTTGTTTGTTGCACCAAATGTTTCTTAAAAACTCAATTGCTTCTTTGTAAACCTGTGGAAAAGGAAACATGGTGTAGAAGTTTTATAATGGTTGCTACGGTCGGGATTCTTCAAGTGTTTTGGCAGACTTCATAGCATTTATCAGCTCATTATGTAGATATGCTAGTTGATTGTCTCCACTGACCAAAAGTAAATAGGTTCCTACCAGATAGTTTTTGTTTGAGTTGATTATAGAATATTAGCTTGATAAACTAGATGTCCAGAGAGTTTTATTTGATGCGGAGTGGAATAATGACTGACAAGTATTTTTTTTTCTTTTCTAAATTGTTTCTGATGCTTGAAACTTTTAGTAAGAACGTTACAGGCCCTAGCAATTTTTGTATTTTATATGATATGTGTCATCAAAAGATATCATGTATGACAGATTTTGTTGCTATCTAGGGTGTTAAAAATCGAAGTGCCACTGACATTAGAATTGACAATGAAGATGGCTCTGATAGTTCTGGAAGAAATGGGGCTCTTTCCATTCCCCTGGCTGCACTTGGGTTTGTGACCAGGTTGGCCTCTGGCATATTTTCAAGGGGGCGAAAACACACTGATCCAGATTCCAGGAGTGATGATGAACTTCAGCTGCGGGAATTGGCTGTCAAAATAGATACTGATGATGAGTCATGTTCCCAGAGATCTAATGGTGGTGATAGCATTGGAAGTCTGAGCACTAAAGTGAAGGCAGAGGAACAAGATGACAAAGAGGTTGCAGATTTATTGGATGCGGCTGAAGCTCTTTGTAACTTGAAGCCAGAAGCAAATGTCCCAACTTATCATGATGATCGAGCGTCTAGTTTCAAAGGATTTGATATCACCAAAGATCCTTACGATCATTATTTTCGTGGTACAAATGAACAGGTTAGTCGTCTGTCCATGGTTTTTGACTTTATTATTTTTCATTCTAAATGCTGTGACTGCCTATATAGTACTGAGATGTCCTTGATCTAGTACAAAACAATGCAATAATCACCAGCTTTAATTTTGTTGAAAAGCCTGATTCAGTTTAATTCAAATTTCACGTAAATGATGGCTGATGGATCAACTCATTTTCAAAAATGATGAGCTGGTAGCAATCCTGCCTAATGTATCACATGCTTAAATCTCTTTCTACTACTTGTCATTGCTTTGAAGTTGCATCATAATAATCCTTTACATTTTCACCACAGAATAATGCGAGTAGGAAGTGGCTCAGGAAGGTTCAACAAGATTGGAATATTTTGCAGAATAACCTTCCTGGTATGTTCAAATCCTTTATACTAGATTTCACATTACTGCATGGAAACAGTATGAGCTCCTTTGGTTCTAAACTGTTACAAACGTTTGTAGAGGGATCTTTGTACGTGTTTATGAAGATCGAATGGATCTATTGAGGGCTGTCATAGTTGGAGCGTATGGAACACCTTACCAAGATGGCCTTTTCTTCTTTGACTTTCACCTCCCACTAGAGTACCCTGATGTCCCACCAGTAAGAAAGATTGATAATTCTTTTATAGATTGGATAGGTTCTTTTATTTCGGCAGCTACTTGCATTCTACTAAACTCTGTTGCAGAATTGCTTCTTCCTTATTTGTCTTCTGTTGCTTCTTTAACATTGCAGTCTGCCTATTATCATTCTGGAGGGTGGCGAATAAATCCGAATCTGTATGAGGAAGGCAAAGTTTGCTTGAGCCTTTTGAATACTTGGACAGGCAGAGGAAATGAGGTGTGGGATCCTTCATCATCGAGCATTCTTCAAGTCCTAGTTTCGCTTCAAGGGCTAGTGCTAAATTCCAAGCCATATTTCAATGAAGCTGGATATGACAAACAAATTGGGACAGCTGAGGGAGAGAAAAATTCTTTGTCGTACAATGAGAATACATTCTTACTCAACTGCAAGACAATGATGTATCTCATACGGAAACCTCCCAAGGTGATGAATGCCTAAACTCCTCTGTCAATTTAATGGTTTCATGTGAACATGTACAGTTTGTCCTGGGTTTCACTATGGAGAGTTCACTGTGTTTGTTTGTTTTGAGACTGCATGCTGTCTGTTTTAAGTGGTTATATTACTTTTTTTAATCTGTTCACCTGATGGAGAAGAATAGATTTTATATAGAGTGGAACAAGCTAGGAGATTGCAGTTGGTTATTTTTACTTCTTCTTTGATGTTCGCCTAGACTTTTAGTTCCTGGTTTTCTTGGTACAGAAGCCTTTCTTGTTTCTAGCCTGAATGCTTTTGTCATATTGTTACAAAAATCATTCTTATTTGATATTTTCTTGATTTTCATCTGAACTTTAGTTAGCATCCACATTAGAGACTTCTGTAAAAATGTCGTGTTGGTGGACCAATTTGATGATTGTTCTTTGCGAAGTTTTCAATCTTTTTAGTGCTTTTTCCAGATAAGTTCCTTTGTTCCACCTTTGCATGATGTGATTATTCTATTCTAAGAAGAAGCTAGCAAATCACTTCAAAAGATAAAACCTAGTTCTATGGAAGAAGTTTTGTGCCATGCTGCATCCAATGTTCAAACTTCTGATGCCTACGTATGGTTCCGTTGCTTCATTTGTGTTCCCCTTTGTACCATGCCTAAGATTTTTCATCATTAATTGGGACTGCATAATTCTATATAAGCATAAAATTTCAAAATCAGCTACTAATGTCTTTGTAATCCTACTATGAAACTGTTTCCAGGACTTTGAAGAGCTTGTCCAACAGCACTTTAGAAGACGTGGTTACTGCATCCTCAAAGCCTGTGATACTTATATGAAGGGATATCTTATTGGTTCACTCACAAAAGATGCTTCCATTAGCAGTAATACCCATGCTAATTCAAATTCCATTGGCTTTAAACTGATGCTGGCAAAGATTGTGCCAAAACTTTACATATCGTTAAGTGAAATTGGAGCCAACTGTCAGGAGTTTAAGCACCTGCAATAACCTTGGAAGTCTTGCAGGGCCAGCTGTACATCTTCTTCATCCAAATCCAATAAGGTCAGTGTAATCATTTAACTGCATTGATTTCAAGACCATTTGACCTTACATGGTCTTAGTTGATAAAGCTTTAGATTCTGTCTAACTTTAGTATTGGGAAACCCAAGATGCATTATCATGTATTAAAAGCCCAGTAGGACGAGTCCTTCAGAGCAGAAGTTCCAAGGACTACTGCTGCTGTTTGTTAATTGTAAAATTTCATGAACTAACACAACTAATTCATTGTTACAATCTCTGATGGCTTTGAGTACTCAGGGTACCTACATAGAGCTTTCCAGTTTTGCATCACTGAAAGAGGATATATTTGAGATACCCTCTTCTGTTTTTCTTGTATTGCTTTTCTGAGAAGTGAGATTTCTCATGTATTTACAGTCTTTGTACTATCTTTTGGCATTTTTGTTTGTCCTTTAGAGTGGGAGGTGTTATTGTAGTCTAGGTATTCTTTTTTCATCCTGTTTTGTTTTTGGGTGTATTCCTGGATCTTGTATGACTTGTTTTACTTTGGAAACAATGATTGATCTTATGATCCCTACCTCATTATTGGTTGGGCTTCAGTTTTGTTAGAGATCCAGAAATGAGGGTGGGCTCTAAACTGACTCGCAACTTAAGTAAGATACTTTTCTGCTGAAGAAGATTTCCGTTCCTGAGATGCTCATTGTCGTTTGCCAACTTGTTCTGCAATTTAGGTAAAGCTCACTAGTCATGGAAAATTTGTAATGAGGATTTGCTTGTAGGGTTGTAGGATTCGTTATCTCAAATTGTTACCCTGCTGATTGGCAAAAATGTCATTAGATAATGCAGTGGAATCCATCCTAACGACCCAAAGACGGATGGGGAAAGCTTGGTAGCTTGCGCTTGGGACCCCGGATTAAAATAGAAGACAATGCAAGCTAATCATTAGAGGTGGAGTTGTTCTAATTACAAAAAGCTAGTGACCGGATTTGTACCCAGAAATAGCATCTCTGTTTAAGAGGTGGGAATTTTTTTTTTTTTTTTTTGGGTTCAAAGATTTCCATTCCCCATATAGCTGAGTCTAATTCTCAGGCTGGGATGGGAGAGTGATAGGCTTTCATCCCACTTCGTGTGAATATGCATCCAAAGCATACTTGATATGACTCCATGACTCGGTCAGGCGTTGTTGTCTGCTGGTTTTGTCCATTTCCATAAGATGTAGAACAAATTTTTATAGGTCCAATTTTACAAGATATAGAACAAATTTGTATAGTTCCCTGCCTGACGTTAAAAAAAATGTTCATGCAGTGATTTGATGATCACCCTGCCCCAAGCTCATCATGACACCTTTCATGAATGCAATCTGAAGGAAATACACGGTATGCTGCAATTAGTGCTGTGTCAAGTAAGCAGGAGATAACATCCCTTTAAACTCAAAGCTACAGTGGTTTAATATGATTCCCTATTAGTTAGTTACCCTGTTGGTCCAGGAAAAGAAAGCTGTACATTAGATCAGTGACAGCTCCACTTAAACTGTATGGCGAGGTGTTTGAGACTTTCCGAGTATCGTTACTATTAGTAGATTATTTGGGATAATTTTTTGAAACGAATACTGATTGAAAAATGTGTTAATGATGCAAACAAAATCCAAACGAGGATTGAGGTTAACAATTTGTCATGAAAGATGAAGCAATATAGATTTGAGTAAATCTTATATGCACTACAGTGTCTATATTATCACCGTTAGATTCATGACATGACATGTGTGCAAAAATTAAATTTTAAATTCAAATTTTGTATAGTTATCATTCGTTATCAATATAGAAAAGATTAATCCTATAGATTTCAGATGCACACTAATGAACTAATGCAGGGTGAACAAAAATAGTTCATATATCCACAATTAGTACATAGATTGCCTTCAGTATACAAGACTGCAAATAGCCCCAAGTCGACTCAAGAATGGAGGGAAATGATATTAGCACTCTTCAGAAATCCCTTCTTTTGCGTTTATTGATGTTTAAGGAGTGTTTGAAGATTTTAACATGAACTTCTGTTGACAGGCTCACCTTTTAGTAGCAAGGCTAATGAATGAATCCTCAGTCTCAGCCCCAAAATTCGTAAAGACCAAAATTCCATAGAAATTATACAAATGCAGAACCATATATAAAGACTAGTAGTATGTAATAGCAGTAATTCACAGATGTTCCTTTCTCTCTGTCATAATGATTTCCTCAGCAATGTGACCCAAAATCACAACTTGCAAAGCCGAACCCAATATCAAGCAAATAGCATCAAGACAACTCTGATGTCTCTCCCCCGGCCCCAGCCTGCCATTCGGGCAAGAGGGAGGGGGTGGGGGAAGGGGAAGGACGAGCAAGAAGAAAAAGGGAGTAAGTAGTGAAAAACCTATAGACCGTTCTTGATAATTTGTCGGCTCCTGAGAAACCTGGCCACGGGAGGTGTAAGAGCGAGGGTGATGGGAACCCTTATAGGAAACAGAGCCTTGTTAAGCAGCAATGCCAGAGCCAGTGCCCCACCACTGGATGCCGCCAGCTCGGCAGTCCGATTCCTCTTCTTGAACTCCTCCTCCACGACGAACCCATCTGTGGATGTGGTGGTGGAAGTCTCGGGGTTGGTATTGAGATCTTGGGCTCCTCCGGGTTTGGCTGCTGCTGCTTCTCCTCCTCCTTCTTTGGACGGGGCCTGCACGCCGACCTTTTCGAACAAGGCCTGCACGTCGACGTTATTCTTAATCGCCACGTACAGCCCGGTGATGGAAGCCGCAGATACAGAAAGGTGGACACCCAATCCGACCTTTCCGTACTTCCTCAACAGTTCCCTAAATCTCCCTCCTGCCATGTCCCAAACTCTTCTTTCTTTTCTTACGATCAATGAATCTGACGGCTAATCCGCATCCGCTTCTGTAGAATTTGTATGTATAACCAGGCAGAGAGAGAGTTATTCTGAACGACAAGTTTAAGCAGCGGGAGTTGGAGGGTTTTGGGATGGGGTATTGGGGTGGGGACACAGTAGAATAGGCAGTGTAGTTGCAGTAGGGTTTTGGAAAATTCTTGAGGGAGGGGAAAGGTCTTCTCGGGCGAGCGTAAATAATAGTGTGTATACGATGTCGTAGCCTGATCACAATTACCAAACTGCATATGATGGATATGGTTGGGCTTCTTGTGGGTGCTACACTAGTACTAATGCGCTTGGGCTTCAAGTAAAAATTGTACTTCTCCTGCTACCATGTGAAATTATTGCTCATTATTTATACCTTATTTGAGCACGTTGACTTATTTGCATCAAATTATTTCAAAATTTTTTCCTCAATGGGGCAGAGACTATTGAATCTTAGAGCTAAAAATAAGTCGAGTCGAATATGTTCGTTAAGTTATTCAAATAAGGCTCGTATTCGTTCGATAATATTCGAGTTTCAAATTTGTGTTGGGCTCTTCAAGCAAAATCTTAGTTTGAATTTGAACTCAAACTCGACTCGTTTAATATAAACGAGCCGTTCGCAAACAATTACACATGGAATTAGAAAATTAGGAATATAATATTAACCATAAGTTTTGTGAAATTATAATTAGGCCCATGTTCGCGAACAATTGTTTAAATTCACGAACGAGTTCATGTTCATTCTATTATTTATACAGTCAAAATATTTGTTCGAATTCGACTAATATAAAATTTCTAACGAGTTGTTATCAAACACGAACAAAGCCTAAACAAGTCGAGCTAACTAACTCTCGGTTAGTTCGTTTAACTGCTAATACTCGAATGAATGAGCCTAGACGAGTTGAACTAACCATAAGCTTGGTTCGTTTAACTGCTAATACTCGAATGCAATCAGCTCTTTTGGAGAACAAATCTCAAACCGGATTCTCCATATATTCTTTTTCGGTTTCGGAGAAAACTCCCAAGTCTTTACGAGAGAGAAGGAGAAAGGGAAGGATCGAGTATACATATTCTTTTTGCCTGAGCATACTACACGAGAGACAGTCATTAGTTCAGCTCAAGTTTGAACATGTCACACCAGGTTTTGGAGTTCCATATTGTAACTATGTACAAACCAAACAAGAACAACTTAATTTACTTGTACACCAATTTATAGAGTAGTCCATTTACAACGAACGTCGGTTCATCATTGCAGAACAGTTTCTTAAGGATGGGATAAACTTCAACTTGAGCTTGAGCCGAGTTCAATAATTTTGATCAAACGAGATCAACGGTCACGACTTGTCCCCACAAATCAGTTTCTTATTCCTCATTTTTCTTCATTGGAGTTATCAAACTACTAGTAGTACTTATCATGGTCTACTCAATGCTGGTAGCATTTATGAATATTGAAATTGCAAGTGGGAAAGGGCCTACAACAAGCCGGTGTTTTCCAACAAGTCACACCAGGCCATATGTATCAATCACCCTGCAGCTGTCTTCGTATAATTACATAAAACTGTACAAAGAAAGTCTTCTGTTTTAAGCAATGGTGGAAGATAGGTGAAACTGTGCGGAATTGACAAGGGTTCCGGTCGATCAACATCTTTATAGCTTTTCAGGCTATGAAAAAAGAAATTAAGCTTCGCTATGGCATCTCCTTCAGCTGCTTCTTGCATGCTTCTTTAGTCTGCGTTCTGCTGCTGTGCGGCGCCAGATGCGAGACTTACACGGTAGGTGATGAGGATAATTGGAGCATTGGAGTCAACTATCTCGCCTGGTCTACCAAGTACAACTTCACGGTTGATGATATTTTGGGTATGTATGTATATATATATATCTATGTATATGCATCCTTCGTCCCTCAAGTTAATTTTTCTTTTCTACGATTTCCATAACGAAGAACTACAAAAAAAAGAAAAACCCTTGATTACTGGTACATGTTTTTTGCTTTCTGGTGGATTAGTTTTCAAGTATACAAAAGGGGAACATAATGTGTATGAAGTGAGTGAGGCCACCTTTCGATCTTGCGATGCAAGCAGCGGAGTTGTGGCAAAATACACAACTGGAAGCGATCAAATTGAGCTCAAAGAAGCCAAGGAGTATTGGTTTATTTGTGACATATCTGGGCACTGTCTGGATGGGATGAGGTTTGGTGTCGATGTAAGTCAAGCAGGCGCAGCCAGCAATACTACTGCATCAGGAACGTCTGCTTCAGCTCCACTGCCGTTCAATCCAAACCCAAATAATGCATCCGAAAGAGGGACTTCTGTGATTTACCTTCTTCTTGTACTTGATTTACTATTGAAATTTTTTGATGATGCTAAATATTTATACTAGTATGATGTAGAGAACTTTTTTTTTATTAGGGTATGTAACTGAAAAGATTGAAGTGATTGTCAGTGGATGCTGTGTTTGATATCCAATACTACTACTATTTGCCCAGTCTTGCTCCTATTCTCTCTCACTAGCTGCCGTTAGCAGTAAAGGGCTCTCAAAACAAAGGATTTAGAAGGAAAAAGTGGATCCATTGTACTGCAAAATAAAGGTCACAGAAATAGCAAGTTTGTTTTAAATTTTTTTAGGGAGGGACATGATCTGCATCAAGACTTGAAGTTCAGTAGCACCAATTAATTTGTCACGGCACAGGCACGAGTTCATTGAAAACCAACTACAGCCAGAGAGAGGGGCGATACAACCTCATTGCAGCTTTCAACATCATCATTTGTGCTCATATTATTCTTGCAACTCAATGATGCGAGATTTGTGAATGTTCAAAGCATTGAGTGTGAAACTTGACCCAGCAGTGCTGGGGAGGAAGAGGGGGAAAATGGAGGGGATATTACCAGTGTTTAAGCCCATTATTACATAGATCATGGCTCAATAAGCTATGGAATCAAAATTTTCACATTTGCAGAGAAAAAAAACTTACGTTTCTAACATCTGCATCCCGGACGTCCAGATCTGTTGTAACCAATATAAACTTGACCTTTGTGTTAGTCAGATAACCATACCTGCAAATATGCAGAGAGATGTAAAGACCAAATAGAGCAACAACAGCTATGTAATAATCTTGTAAGTTCCCACTCCTATATGAGTGGATTGGATATTTAAGCATCAAAATACTCTTACACTTTGTAGTTTTCAGTCGGATACAGCATACCAAGAAATGTCTCATTCAGAGTGGGGCCAGATTTTTTCGGATTGTTCACTGCAAGAGAATGAGGATGAACTTTTAAAGTGTTCTTTGTCAAAAAATGCCAAAGAAAATGTGTAAACATGATTTTTGGTGATCCAGAATTTCTCAATCATCAGACATAGATACAGATTAAGTTGAGATGCTTCAGACAAGAATTACGCCTACCATAATTCTTTCTAATGAAGCCTTTATCCACAATCAGAGCAAGAACATGATCATATCATTAAATTATTGCTAATATATCCCCCCCCCCCTGGGGGCCCAAAAAAAGGAAGGAGCAGCGATGTTTACACAAAAACAGGGAGAAACATAAAGGAACTTATGCCATGGGACACAGTTGCAGAACCACATGTAATAGTTCTCATCAAAAAACTAATCATGCTAGACTTCACATGCTAAATGCCCAATAACTGAAACGCCACATTCTGTACTATCAATCAATACAGAAGAATACATCATATACAAACATATGGAATCAGCAATAACTCGCACAGTAACCACTCATTCTGTTACTCTCTCCTAGTACACGCAGGCAGAGATATAAGCACACTAAAGAAATGTGACACTGCTAGAAATAATCAGCCTTTGGAACAGGATATTGCACCAGCAGAAGGAGAGATAGTAACCAGAAAAGATTGACAGAAGCGTTCATTCCAGACTGAGAAGTGAACAAAGCATTTGCATTTGTCTCCAGCAAGTAACTCCAATCGATAAAGATCTAGTGCCGTGAATATTAATCTCTCTAGTTAAATGTTTTTAAATGAAGCTGGCTAAGCGAAATACATATGCAAATTGGCATGGCTTCTGACTATCTTAATTATACAAAATTTAGCAGTACAGTACAGCAGGTTGAGTGAGCTAAACCTTTATTCAAGAAATGAGATAAATAGGCAACGCCAAACAAGAAAAAATAAGCGAACAAATCGAACAGTGGAAATCGTGTATGAAATGTATATATGTTGAGCTCAGCAAAATAATAGTTTAGAATATCAGAAATTCAGAAGACTCTATCTAGTGAAGATGAGTTCAGACTACAACAAGTGTTGCTTAGCTCGTAACTGAAAGTTATGCATATAATGATTCCATCTCATTAGTACAACAATTAAATCAATGCATTTACTGCTAATATAGGTTATTTACTTGAACGGGAGCGCTTAAAAGAACCAAGTAGTCATTAAGAAGCAAAAACACCAGGCAAGATCCGGAAGAGGAAGAGGAAGAGGACCTCTTTCGTCAACGACGTCAAGGGAGCAGTGGACGATGTGGTGAAGCTTGAGGGCATCATCTGCTTCCGTGAAGCTCTGTATGTATAAGGGATTATTCTAATCCCGCCGCCGGAAAATCAAGAAATGCCATCAGTTGGCCGCTGCGTCTTTGCCATGTGATGTGTTTATTGAAAATGAAAGAACGAACGAGATTGTCTTATTAGGATCCAAAACATTACAGAAAGGTGAATGGGCAGCGTACCTGGTGGCCGACGACTGCAACGCAAACGATCATCGTCTCTTCAGTCCGATCAGCACTGGGACCAACCCCTTTGCCGCTGCACCAGTCGGAGGGACGCCGCGAGATCTATATGGTCTCTTCTGGGCAAATTGACCAAATAGTCTTTCAGCTCTTTACTGAACCAATTTTGGTCCTTTAACTTTAACTCTGGTCCCAAAAATTGGGATAATTTGAGAAACCTCCCCTAAGGTTTATAGCTATTTCACTGGCCTCCATTCAGATTTTGAAATTTGCATTAACCTCCCTTGAAATTTATTATCTTGTAATATCTAGGTCCAACCACCAATTAAAAAGTAATATTAAGAGAGAGAAGATAATGTGATTTCACTATTACCTCTCATATATTAAATTATTTAATTAATCTAATATCAATCCAAACATTAAAAAAAACACTAAAATTTGCATATCATCAAGGATTAAATTACATATGGCATCAAATATAGTATATCATTCTATATATTTCATTTAATATAAGACCCAAATTATTCTTTTTAGTTTCAAACCCATTGTCAAACAAGGTCAACAACAAATAATCAAAAAAATCTGTAACCAAAATATTACAAAAAATGAATTTTAATATCATAAAAATTTCAGCAACTAACTTTAATATATTAACAAGAAAATTTGTGATGTTAAAGTTTGTTCTCTGTAATATTTTAGTTACAAATTTTTTGTATTATTTTTGTTGATCGTATTTGACAATAGGTATGTAACTGAAAAGAGTAATTTGAATCTTATATTAAGTAAAAAATATAAAATGATATACTATTTTTTGATACTATATGTTATTTGATCCTTAATAATAAATAGCAAAATTTTAAGTGTTTTTCTTTAATGTGTGGATTGGTATTGAATTAACTAAATCATATAGTAGATGAGGGACAATGATTGAATCATACATTCATATTATCTTCTCTTTTCTAATATTATTTTTTAATTATTGATTGAATTTAAATAGGGTTGCAAACAAATTGAATCGAGACAAGTTTTAGCCTAATTGAGCCAAATCTTGACTTAGTTTTATCAAATTTGAACTCGAACTCAAGATCGATGAGCTGCCAATTCGTCTCGAACTCGCGGTCGAGCTTGAAAAAATAAAAAATAATTATTTTATTTTTTGAAAATAAATAAAATAATATTTTTCTTAATAAATAATAAAACATTAGGAAAATATATGTAATTTTAGTAGTAAAATTAAAAATAATATATATATGTATATAGATACTCGAGTTTGAGTATCAACTTGCGAGCTAATGAGTTTAATATTTTTGAATTTGAACTCAAGTTCGAGTTTGAGTTCGATTTGGCCAACTCAAGCTTCTCTCGAGCTCGAGCAATATCAAACTCGAGTCGAACTTTGACTCAAACCCTTCGCGAGCGGTTCGATTCGTTTGCAACCTAAATCTAAATATTACAAGATAATTAACCTCAAGGAAGAGTAGTGTAATTTCGAAACCTGGAGAGAGAGAGCGGTGAAATGGTTAGAAACCTCAAGGGAGGTTTCTAAAATTATCCCCCAAAAATTTTATTATTCGAGTTGATTTGGACCTTCCACTATAAATTAGACCCTGAAATATTAATAATATTATACTGAGCCTGATTAAATTAGTCATCCTACAGATGTCGTCCCTTACTTTTATTATCAGACCAAGTTCATCCATCCTATATTTTTAACTGATTAATTTAAGAATAGGCTAAATCTAAACTCTAAAACTACATTTATCCATAAGTCACAATCGACTTTTTTTTTCTTTTGCTTTTTGATTAATTATCAACTCCTACGATATTCCTATTTTAACTTATATTAAGAGACAGCCTAATTGAATCAAGAGAAATTAGAAAAGAGCAATTCCCACCTCTATAATGTCGTGTGCTGACATAAACTTGAATCGATCTTAACCATTAAATCAAGGCTTCTCATTATTGATACGCGAACCAACCCATACGAATTTAGAACTAGATCTCGATATTCATTAACTTTTTAAAATTACGACTTACAAACATAATAATATATGAAATTCACTGCTCAGCTAATGAAATCAAGATGCTCGAGCTTGACTCGTGCACGGTCAATGAAAGTTACATTCCATCAGGGGCTTGAAGGAGAATCAAGAAAATCTCAATTTAAATTTTGTTAAAGAAAAGGTTTAAAGGAAGGGAACTTTTTATTACGGCATTGCTTTGCAAGTTCCATTCAAGTACACAACCTTGAAAATTCAAGGTGGGGGAAAAAGGAAAGGAAAAGAAAAGAAGCACACAAAGTTGAGGCAAAAGAAAAGCGGCACTTGTACGGCACGTAATTACAATAATGTCCCTAAAGTGGACGCCTAACATTAGTCACCGGCTGACCGCTCTTTAGCTCCTCCGTCTCTCTGGTAATCGAATATACTTTGGGCTTCGGCCAATGTCTTCTCCTTCCCTTTGCCTAAAATAAATAAATAACATCTATCTATATATATATATAAGAAGGGAAAAAAAAAAAAAAAAAACGAAACGATTACAAAGTAAAACATAGGAGGAGGTGGAGTGGTGGGTAAATAATAATAATGAGGTAGTATTCATTTTTCCAGGATCAGTTCTTCTTGTTGCCTACAAAACACCCCTCTCCTCTCAGCCCTTCCCAAATTCACCGATTTTCTGAGGTATTTTTATGTTCTTTGCCATTTTTTTGTTTGTTTTTAATGCCATTATCTGCAATCGCGCATTTTTAAGAGATTCTTGTTGAATTTATTTAATAATGCAAGTAATTTTGTCATCAGAATTTACAGCTCATTGAGCCTATTGATTGTGGCCTGTTTGTTGTTGTCAGGGAGCATTCTGTTGTGTTTCTGATGAGTATTTGGTAGATTTAGTCTTGTTTTTTCAATTGAAATTTAGTTTGGGGAAGGGGCGTTCTTGTCTTGTTTTCCAATTTGAATAATGATTTCAGCTGGGCATGAGCGATGATCGAGGATTTTGGTGGAATTTTTCTTTCGAGTATATGAGGGTTTGTTTCTTATTATTATTATTTGAATTGGATTTTGGGTTCTAAAATTTGAGGTTCAAACTGGTCGAATTACCTATCCGTCATTTGTGGTTACCACGAAGAAAAGTCGGTCCTGCTAATGTTGGAACATGTGATTACATCTTGGTGATTAAAAAACCAAAAAATAGCCGGTGTGAAGAGTTTAAAAGTTTTTTATAATGAAATTTGACTAGATTCTAAATGCCAACGCATACTTAAATTAAAGATGCATGGTTTTTGAGTTCTTTTTCACGCAAATTTCTTGCTTTGGCTCCAACAGAAGCAGAAAAAATCGATTCTCATAGCTTTTTGCTGATTAAGAGCATGAAAATTGAGGTTTTCGGTGTCTTTTTAACGTTTAACCATGAGTACTTTTGTGAGTGGAATCAAGAACCATGAGCAGTTTTGATAGTTCATGTGGAGATGTCGTCACCTGCTGGTCTAAACTCACTTCTTGTGTGCATGAAAAGTATTCTTAACCTATTTGCTATTATGGAGGCTTTTTTTTTTTCTCTATTTTTGTGTTTTCCATTTAATGATTTCCTCAAGTTTCTTCATGTGTTCATTAGATGGATACTGGGCCGGGGCAGCACAATGTTGCTTCCAAAGATGTTGTACCAGTAACCACCGCAAATAAAAATGCGGATTTGAAGGAAGATGATTCACCTGTAAATGGACTTTATTATAACCAAAATGTGATACCTGCAAATAAACCAGGAGATATTCTCAAGAATTTACAGAATGTATCCTATGTATACAGACAAGATGTTGTAAGAAGCAGTATCAATAGTAAGCTTGGAATTGTCACTGAAGTTGCTGGTGACTCTGATTCCGATGGAAGCTTAACTGATGACGATGATGATGATGATGATGATGAGGTAGATGACGATGATGGTGACGATGACGATGCTGAAGTGGATAACTCTCAAAAAGTTAACCAGACTAAAGATTCTGATAGTCAAAAGAATCATAACCTCCCAGCTGATCAAGTTAGGGTGCTCTGGATAGATGAATCTGAGACGACAGAAAGTATAAATAATGTGAAAGTTGTTGATCGGGGATTTCTGCATGGGGATTATGTTGCTGCTGCTTCAGACCCAACGGGTCAAGTGGGTGTCGTGGTAGATGTCGATATTTCTGTTGATTTATTAACTCATGATGGCTCTATCATTGAAAATATTTCTGCCAGGGACTTGAAACGTGTCAGGGATTTCACAATCGGTGACTATGTAGTTCTTGGTCCCTGGTTAGGTAGAATTGATGATGTCTTGGATAATGTCACGGTTCTTTTTGATGATGGCTCCGTATGCAAAGTTATGAAAGCTGACCCACTTCGTCTTAAACCTGTTGGCAAGAATATTCTTGAAGATGGGCACTTTCCTTACTATCCTGGGCAGCGTGTCAAGGCAAACTCTTCGTCAGTCTTTAAGAACTCAAGATGGATTTCTGGCTTATGGAAAGCTAACCGTCTAGAGGGTACAGTGACTAAAGTTACAGTAGGTTCTGTATTCATATATTGGATTGCTTCTGCTGGTTATGGACCTGACTCTTCTACAACGCCAGCAGAAGAGCAAAGTCCCAAAAATTTAAAACTTTTGTCTTGTTTTTCACATGCAAACTGGCAATTGGGTGATTGGTGCCTTCTTCCTTCACCTGTGCTATTGTCCAGCATTCCTCTGGACAAGGGATTATCAAAACTAGAACTTTGTGATTCTGTCAAAGAGGAATCAGAATCTGCTCAAACAGGAGCAGAATGTTCTGAAGTTGTCACTTCGGAGGAATCAAATGGGAACGGTGAATTAATAGTACTTGATGCAGAGGTTTCACTGGAAGCAAATAATGGGAAGGCTGAAGCTAAAGCTCCTGCAGAATCTAGTTCATGTTCTAGTTCATTGTCTATTTCCAAGGAGTCAGTCCATGAATCTTGGCCCTTACATCGTAAGAAGATCCGTAAAGTTATAGTCAGGAGGGACAAAAAAGCAAGGAAAAAAGAGGACAATTTTGAAAGAGCCCTGTTGATCGTTAATACTAGGACTAGTGTTGATGTAGCCTGGCAGGATGGAACAATAAAAAGAGGTATAAATTCCACGAGTTTGATTCCTATTGAGAGTCCAGGAGATCATGAATTTGTTGCAGAACAGTATATAGTTGAGAAAGCTGCCGATGACGGTTATGATACTGGTGAAACTAGACGTGTCGGGGTTGTGAAAAGTGTTAATGCAAAGGAGAAGACAGCTCATGTGAGGTGGTTAAAGCAAGTTACTAGGGCTGAGGATCCCAGAGAATTTGATAGAGAAGAAGTAGTAAGCGTTTATGAGTTGGAGGGCCATCCTGACTATGATTACTGCTATGGAGATGTTGTTGTTCGATTATCACCTGTTTCTCTTCCAGTAGAAATTCTATCCACTACTAACTCTGCTGAAGAGTCTGAGCTGCTGCATGGTACATATGAGGAAGAGCAAGATGCAGAACAACACATTGGATGTAAGAAGGTTGAGGATGAATCAACTGATGAAGTTTGTACTGAATTCTCAGATCTCTCCTGGGTTGGGAATATTACTGGACTCAGGAATGGTGACATTGAGGTTACATGGGCTGATGGAATGGTCTCAATGGTACATTTTCTGCTGGACTAGTGATAACATCATTGGTTTGTTTCAAATGGGGATGCCTTCATCCACCATCTCTTCTTTACTATATGATCTTACTCTGGTCTTGTGCTGGTTCCCTTTCTTTCATATGTTGAAGATATAATTTCGAAACCCTTATTGTTTTTCTCCTCTTCTTATTACATATTGGTATACACCCAGAGAGACATCTGCACTTATATTCTCATAATGTGATTGATGGTGGTAAAATGCATAGGTGGTTATATAAAATTGAACTAATGGTTTGTTGTGTATCACCAACACTGCAAAGCACTTGAATAGTAAGATGTCAAAGAAGTGAAACATCCAAGAATATTTGATTATTTTGCTTATTTAGATTTTCATCTAAAAAAAGTGGATGCTAACAGTTTGAATTACTACTGCAGCTATGAGACATACTTTGGCTTTCTGTTGCATGTGATATTATTATGTTTTTTTTCATTTTTCTACGGTTCAATGTATTGTACTCATCTTGTAGTACTGCATTGTATAGGAGTTTGTAATTGTACATGGTTGACACTGTACTTTTCCCTGTTAGGTTGGTCCTCAAGCAATATATGTTGTTGGTCGCGATGATGATGAGTCAATTACAGGTGGAAGTGAAATTAGTGATGATGCAGCCAGCTGGGAAACCGTTGAGGATGATGAGATGGATACTATTGAGAATGCTGACGAGGTTTATACTAAATGAAATTTGTTTGTTGCACCAAATGTTTCTTAAAAACTCAATTGCTTCTTTGTAAACCTGTGGAAAAGGAAACATGGTGTAGAAGTTTTATAATGGTTGCTACGGTCGGGATTCTTCAAGTGTTTTGGCAGACTTCATAGCATTTATCAGCTCATTATGTAGATATGCTAGTTGATTGTCTCCACTGACCAAAAGTAAATAGGTTCCTACCAGATAGTTTTTGTTTGAGTTGATTATAGAATATTAGCTTGATAAACTAGATGTCCAGAGAGTTTTATTTGATGCGGAGTGGAATAATGACTGACAAGTATTTTTTTTTCTTTTCTAAATTGTTTCTGATGCTTGAAACTTTTAGTAAGAACGTTACAGGCCCTAGCAATTTTTGTATTTTATATGATATGTGTCATCAAAAGATATCATGTATGACAGATTTTGTTGCTATCTAGGGTGTTAAAAATCGAAGTGCCACTGACATTAGAATTGACAATGAAGATGGCTCTGATAGTTCTGGAAGAAATGGGGCTCTTTCCATTCCCCTGGCTGCACTTGGGTTTGTGACCAGGTTGGCCTCTGGCATATTTTCAAGGGGGCGAAAACACACTGATCCAGATTCCAGGAGTGATGATGAACTTCAGCTGCGGGAATTGGCTGTCAAAATAGATACTGATGATGAGTCATGTTCCCAGAGATCTAATGGTGGTGATAGCATTGGAAGTCTGAGCACTAAAGTGAAGGCAGAGGAACAAGATGACAAAGAGGTTGCAGATTTATTGGATGCGGCTGAAGCTCTTTGTAACTTGAAGCCAGAAGCAAATGTCCCAACTTATCATGATGATCGAGCGTCTAGTTTCAAAGGATTTGATATCACCAAAGATCCTTACGATCATTATTTTCGTGGTACAAATGAACAGGTTAGTCGTCTGTCCATGGTTTTTGACTTTATTATTTTTCATTCTAAATGCTGTGACTGCCTATATAGTACTGAGATGTCCTTGATCTAGTACAAAACAATGCAATAATCACCAGCTTTAATTTTGTTGAAAAGCCTGATTCAGTTTAATTCAAATTTCACGTAAATGATGGCTGATGGATCAACTCATTTTCAAAAATGATGAGCTGGTAGCAATCCTGCCTAATGTATCACATGCTTAAATCTCTTTCTACTACTTGTCATTGCTTTGAAGTTGCATCATAATAATCCTTTACATTTTCACCACAGAATAATGCGAGTAGGAAGTGGCTCAGGAAGGTTCAACAAGATTGGAATATTTTGCAGAATAACCTTCCTGGTATGTTCAAATCCTTTATACTAGATTTCACATTACTGCATGGAAACAGTATGAGCTCCTTTGGTTCTAAACTGTTACAAACGTTTGTAGAGGGGATCTTTGTACGTGTTTATGAAGATCGAATGGATCTATTGAGGGCTGTCATAGTTGGAGCGTATGGAACACCTTACCAAGATGGCCTTTTCTTCTTTGACTTTCACCTCCCACTAGAGTACCCTGATGTCCCACCAGTAAGAAAGATTGATAATTCTTTTATAGATTGGATAGGTTCTTTTATTTCGGCAGCTACTTGCATTCTACTAAACTCTGTTGCAGAATTGCTTCTTCCTTATTTGTCTTCTGTTGCTTCTTTAACATTGCAGTCTGCCTATTATCATTCTGGAGGGTGGCGAATAAATCCGAATCTGTATGAGGAAGGCAAAGTTTGCTTGAGCCTTTTGAATACTTGGACAGGCAGAGGAAATGAGGTGTGGGATCCTTCATCATCGAGCATTCTTCAAGTCCTAGTTTCGCTTCAAGGGCTAGTGCTAAATTCCAAGCCATATTTCAATGAAGCTGGATATGACAAACAAATTGGGACAGCTGAGGGAGAGAAAAATTCTTTGTCGTACAATGAGAATACATTCTTACTCAACTGCAAGACAATGATGTATCTCATACGGAAACCTCCCAAGGTGATGAATGCCTAAACTCCTCTGTCAATTTAATGGTTTCATGTGAACATGTACAGTTTGTCCTGGGTTTCACTATGGAGAGTTCACTGTGTTTGTTTGTTTTGAGACTGCATGCTGTCTGTTTTAAGTGGTTATATTACTTTTTTTTAATCTGTTCACCTGATGGAGAAGAATAGATTTTATATAGAGTGGAACAAGCTAGGAGATTGCAGTTGGTTATTTTTACTTCTTCTTTGATGTTCGCCTAGACTTTTAGTTCCTGGTTTTCTTGGTACAGAAGCCTTTCTTGTTTTCTAGCCTGAATGCTTTTGTCATATTGTTACAAAAATCATTCTTATTTGATATTTTCTTGATTTTCATCTGAACTTTAGTTAGCATCCACATTAGAGACTTCTGTAAAAATGTCGTGTTGGTGGACCAATTTGATGATTGTTCTTTGCGAAGTTTTCAATCTTTTTAGTGCTTTTTCCAGATAAGTTCCTTTGTTCCACCTTTGCATGATGTGATTATTCTATTCTAAGAAGAAGCTAGCAAATCACTTCAAAAGATAAAACCTAGTTCTATGGAAGAAGTTTTGTGCCATGCTGCATCCAATGTTCAAACTTCTGATGCCTACGTATGGTTCCGTTGCTTCATTTGTGTTCCCCTTTGTACCATGCCTAAGATTTTTCATCATTAATTGGGACTGCATAATTCTATATAAGCATAAAATTTCAAAATCAGCTACTAATGTCTTTGTAATCCTACTATGAAACTGTTTCCAGGACTTTGAAGAGCTTGTCCAACAGCACTTTAGAAGACGTGGTTACTGCATCCTCAAAGCCTGTGATACTTATATGAAGGGATATCTTATTGGTTCACTCACAAAAGATGCTTCCATTAGCAGTAATACCCATGCTAATTCAAATTCCATTGGCTTTAAACTGATGCTGGCAAAGATTGTGCCAAAACTTTACATATCGTTAAGTGAAATTGGAGCCAACTGTCAGGAGTTTAAGCACCTGCAATAACCTTGGAAGTCTTGCAGGGCCAGCTGTACATCTTCTTCATCCAAATCCAATAAGGTCAGTGTAATCATTTAACTGCATTGATTTCAAGACCATTTGACCTTACATGGTCTTAGTTGATAAAGCTTTAGATTCTGTCTAACTTTAGTATTGGGAAACCCAAGATGCATTATCATGTATTAAAAGCCCAGTAGGACGAGTCCTTCAGAGCAGAAGTTCCAAGGACTACTGCTGCTGTTTGTTAATTGTAAAATTTCATGAACTAACACAACTAATTCATTGTTACAATCTCTGATGGCTTTGAGTACTCAGGGTACCTACATAGAGCTTTCCAGTTTTGCATCACTGAAAGAGGATATATTTGAGATACCCTCTTCTGTTTTTCTTGTATTGCTTTTCTGAGAAGTGAGATTTCTCATGTATTTACAGTCTTTGTACTATCTTTTGGCATTTTTGTTTGTCCTTTAGAGTGGGAGGTGTTATTGTAGTCTAGGTATTCTTTTTTCATCCTGTTTTGTTTTTGGGTGTATTCCTGGATCTTGTATGACTTGTTTTACTTTGGAAACAATGATTGATCTTATGATCCCTACCTCATTATTGGTTGGGCTTCAGTTTTGTTAGAGATCCAGAAATGAGGGTGGGCTCTAAACTGACTCGCAACTTAAGTAAGATACTTTTCTGCTGAAGAAGATTTCCGTTCCTGAGATGCTCATTGTCGTTTGCCAACTTGTTCTGCAATTTAGGTAAAGCTCACTAGTCATGGAAAATTTGTAATGAGGATTTGCTTGTAGGGGTTGTAGGATTCGTTATCTCAAATTGTTACCCTGCTGATTGGCAAAAATGTCATTAGATAATGCAGTGGAATCCATCCTAACGACCCAAAGACGGATGGGGAAAGCTTGGTAGCTTGCGCTTGGGACCCCGGATTAAAATAGAAGACAATGCAAGCTAATCATTAGAGGTGGAGTTGTTCTAATTACAAAAAGCTAGTGACCGGATTTGTACCCAGAAATAGCATCTCTGTTTAAGAGGTGGGAATTTTTTTTTTTTTTTTTGGGTTCAAAGATTTCCATTCCCCATATAGCTGAGTCTAATTCTCAGGCTGGGATGGGAGAGTGATAGGCTTTCATCCCACTTCGTGTGAATATGCATCCAAAGCATACTTGATATGACTCCATGACTCGGTCAGGCGTTGTTGTCTGCTGGTTTTGTCCATTTCCATAAGATGTAGAACAAATTTTTATAGGTCCAATTTTACAAGATATAGAACAAATTTGTATAGTTCCCTGCCTGACGTTAAAAAAAATGTTCATGCAGTGATTTGATGATCACCCTGCCCCAAGCTCATCATGACACCTTTCATGAATGCAATCTGAAGGAAATACACGGTATGCTGCAATTAGTGCTGTGTCAAGTAAGCAGGAGATAACATCCCTTTAAACTCAAAGCTACAGTGGTTTAATATGATTCCCTATTAGTTAGTTACCCTGTTGGTCCCAGGAAAAGAAAGCTGTACATTAGATCAGTGACAGCTCCACTTAAACTGTATGGCGAGGTGTTTGAGACTTTCCGAGTATCGTTACTATTAGTAGATTATTTGGGATAATTTTTTGAAACGAATACTGATTGAAAAATGTGTTAATGATGCAAACAAAATCCAAACGAGGATTGAGGTTAACAATTTGTCATGAAAGATGAAGCAATATAGATTTGAGTAAATCTTATATGCACTACAGTGTCTATATTATCACCGTTAGATTCATGACATGACATGTGTGCAAAAATTAAATTTTAAATTCAAATTTTGTATAGTTATCATTCGTTATCAATATAGAAAAGATTAATCCTATAGATTTCAGATGCACACTAATGAACTAATGCAGGGTGAACAAAAATAGTTCATATATCCACAATTAGTACATAGATTGCCTTCAGTATACAAGACTGCAAATAGCCCCAAGTCGACTCAAGAATGGAGGGAAATGATATTAGCACTCTTCAGAAATCCCTTCTTTTGCGTTTATTGATGTTTAAGGAGTGTTTGAAGATTTTAACATGAACTTCTGTTGACAGGCTCACCTTTTAGTAGCAAGGCTAATGAATGAATCCTCAGTCTCAGCCCCAAAATTCGTAAAGACCAAAATTCCATAGAAATTATACAAATGCAGAACCATATATAAAGACTAGTAGTATGTAATAGCAGTAATTCACAGATGTTCCTTTCTCTCTGTCATAATGATTTCCTCAGCAATGTGACCCAAAATCACAACTTGCAAAGCCGAACCCAATATCAAGCAAATAGCATCAAGACAACTCTGATGTCTCTCCCCCGGCCCCAGCCTGCCATTCGGGGCAAGAGGGAGGGGGTGGGGGGAAGGGGAAGGACGAGCAAGAAGAAAAAGGGAAAGTAGTGAAAAACCTATAGACCGTTCTTGATAATTTGTCGGCTCCTGAGAAACCTGGCCACGGGAGGTGTAAGAGCGAGGGTGATGGGAACCCTTATAGGAAACAGAGCCTTGTTAAGCAGCAATGCCAGAGCCAGTGCCCCACCACTGGATGCCGCCAGCTCGGCAGTCCGATTCCTCTTCTTGAACTCCTCCTCCACGACGAACCCATCTGTGGATGTGGTGGTGGAAGTCTCGGGGTTGGTATTGAGATCTTGGGCTCCTCCGGGTTTGGCTGCTGCTGCTTCTCCTCCTCCTTCTTTGGACGGGGCCTGCACGCCGACCTTTTCGAACAAGGCCTGCACGTCGACGTTATTCTTAATCGCCACGTACAGCCCGGTGATGGAAGCCGCAGATACAGAAAGGTGGACACCCAATCCGACCTTTCCGTACTTCCTCAACAGTTCCCTAAATCTCCCTCCTGCCATGTCCCAAACTCTTCTTTCTTTTCTTACGATCAATGAATCTGACGGCTAATCCGCATCCGCTTCTGTAGAATTTGTATGTATAACCAGGCAGAGAGAGAGTTATTCTGAACGACAAGTTTAAGCAGCGGGAGTTGGAGGGTTTTGGGATGGGGTATTGGGGTGGGGACACAGTAGAATAGGCAGTGTAGTTGCAGTAGGGTTTTGGAAAATTCTTGAGGGAGGGGAAAGGTCTTCTCGGGCGAGCGTAAATAATAGTGTGTATACGATGTCGTAGCCTGATCACAATTACCAAACTGCATATGATGGATATGGTTGGGCTTCTTGTGGGTGCTACACTAGTACTAATGCGCTTGGGCTTCAAGTAAAAATTGTACTTCTCCTGCTACCATGTGAAATTATTGCTCATTATTTATACCTTATTTGAGCACGTTGACTTATTTGCATCAAATTATTTCAAAATTTTTTCCTCAATGGGGCAGAGACTATTGAATCTTAGAGCTAAAAATAAGTCGAGTCGAATATGTTCGTTAAGTTATTCAAATAAGGCTCGTATTCGTTCGATAATATTCGAGTTTCAAATTTGTGTTGGGCTCTTCAAGCAAAATCTTAGTTTGAATTTGAACTCAAACTCGACTCGTTTAATATAAACGAGCCGTTCGCAAACAATTACACATGGAATTAGAAAATTAGGAATATAATATTAACCATAAGTTTTGTGAAATTATAATTAGGCCCATGTTCGCGAACAATTGTTTAAATTCACGAACGAGTTCATGTTCATTCTATTATTTATACAGTCAAAATATTTGTTCGAATTCGACTAATATAAAATTTCTAACGAGTTGTTATCAAACACGAACAAAGCCTAAACAAGTCGAGCTAACTAACTCTCGGGTTAGTTCGTTTAACTGCTAATACTCGAATGAATGAGCCTAGACGAGTTGAACTAACCATAAGCTTGGTTCGTTTAACTGCTAATACTCGAATGCAATCAGCTCTTTTGGAGAACAAATCTCAAACCGGATTCTCCATATATTCTTTTTCGGTTTCGGAGAAAACTCCCAAGTCTTTACGAGAGAGAAGGAGAAAGGGAAGGATCGAGTATACATATTCTTTTTGCCTGAGCATACTACACGAGAGACAGTCATTAGTTCAGCTCAAGTTTGAACATGTCACACCAGGTTTTGGAGTTCCATATTGTAACTATGTACAAACCAAACAAGAACAACTTAATTTACTTGTACACCAATTTATAGAGTAGTCCATTTACAACGAACGTCGGTTCATCATTGCAGAACAGTTTCTTAAGGATGGGATAAACTTCAACTTGAGCTTGAGCCGAGTTCAATAATTTTGATCAAACGAGATCAACGGTCACGACTTGTCCCCACAAATCAGTTTCTTATTCCTCATTTTTCTTCATTGGAGTTATCAAACTACTAGTAGTACTTATCATGGTCTACTCAATGCTGGTAGCATTTATGAATATTGAAATTGCAAGTGGGAAAGGGCCTACAACAAGCCGGTGTTTTCCAACAAGTCACACCAGGCCATATGTATCAATCACCCTGCAGCTGTCTTCGTATAATTACATAAAACTGTACAAAGAAAGTCTTCTGTTTTAAGCAATGGTGGAAGATAGGTGAAACTGTGCGGAATTGACAAGGGTTCCGGTCGATCAACATCTTTATAGCTTTTCAGGCTATGAAAAAAGAAATTAAGCTTCGCTATGGCATCTCCTTCAGCTGCTTCTTGCATGCTTCTTTAGTCTGCGTTCTGCTGCTGTGCGGCGCCAGATGCGAGACTTACACGGTAGGTGATGAGGATAATTGGAGCATTGGAGTCAACTATCTCGCCTGGTCTACCAAGTACAACTTCACGGTTGATGATATTTTGGGTATGTATGTATATATATATATCTATGTATATGCATCCTTCGTCCCTCAAGTTAATTTTTCTTTTCTACGATTTCCATAACGAAGAACTACAAAAAAAAGAAAAACCCTTGATTACTGGTACATGTTTTTTGCTTTCTGGTGGATTAGTTTTCAAGTATACAAAAGGGGAACATAATGTGTATGAAGTGAGTGAGGCCACCTTTCGATCTTGCGATGCAAGCAGCGGAGTTGTGGCAAAATACACAACTGGAAGCGATCAAATTGAGCTCAAAGAAGCCAAGGAGTATTGGTTTATTTGTGACATATCTGGGCACTGTCTGGATGGGATGAGGTTTGGTGTCGATGTAAGTCAAGCAGGCGCAGCCAGCAATACTACTGCATCAGGAACGTCTGCTTCAGCTCCACTGCCGTTCAATCCAAACCCAAATAATGCATCCGAAAGAGGGACTTCTGTGATTTACCTTCTTCTTGTACTTGATTTACTATTGAAATTTTTTTGATGATGCTAAATATTTATACTAGTATGATGTAGAGAACTTTTTTTTTATTAGGGTATGTAACTGAAAAGATTGAAGTGATTGTCAGTGGATGCTGTGTTTGATATCCAATACTACTACTATTTGCCCAGTCTTGCTCCTATTCTCTCTCACTAGCTGCCGTTAGCAGTAAAGGGCTCTCAAAACAAAGGATTTAGAAGGAAAAAGTGGATCCATTGTACTGCAAAATAAAGGTCACAGAAATAGCAAGTTTGTTTTAAATTTTTTTAGAACAATAATTGCCTGTGGAAAAATAATTGCCTCAAGCAAGTGTTATGATCTTTTTCCCCAAGGTGCTTTTAAAACTAAGCTCGAAACTCCAATATATTTGTGTCCCTGAATGTGGATTGTTTGGATTGAGCATTATTTTTCCAATTTTATTTGCTTACATCATCATTACAATTTCCAATACACCTTTTTATCTTCCCAATCACCTTTTTATCTCACGTATATCACGTTACAAAAAGTACTACAGTAAAAATATTCCAAATAACTTACAATTCAAACAAGTTACGAGTCGAATTTGGGTTTATCAAGCTCGATTAAAACTTCTAATTGTTGGTTTGACAAAAGGATCTTGTGGTTTATAATTCCGCAATTCCATTTCATCCTATATCTAACAAAACGCAAACACAGGATGATGTTATTCCCTGACACCTCGCAGCTAATATAAAACCAATCAAACACTAGATAATAAGATTCCCTAAAGTTCTAGTTAACCATTTTCAACCACTTTTGTCTTCACAAAGTCTCACCCTATGTCAGACAACTCTAAGAGGGAAATTGTTTGGAAGCCAAAAGTATAAATCTGAAGCAAACAAGACGCATTTAAGAGATTTAAGTGAGTCCAAGATTATGTTACTTTCCTCCATTTTATTCTTTGGACATAAATCAACAACTTGGTCTTCTCTAACTTTCCCTTGTGTCCAAGGATTTTGTTATTGCCAATTTTTGTTTTATAGAAGTCCAAAGAAGCACCATTCGAGTTGAATGTGAACTCCAAAGCTGTTTAAGTTGTTTGGGGGGTTGGGGGGGGGGGGGGGGGGGGTGGGAATGTTAATAAATCAAGGGGGCATTGTAAGCAATTCACAAGTAGCTTTAGGGATGTTTGGTTTACAAGCATGAGCGTTAGAAATCGGCATGCAAATTAATTACCATTTGTTTGGTTAAGTATTACAGGTGTCATTTTCTAAAAATAGAAGTTTTAAAATATGTAACCTTACCATTCCTACTTGGATTTGAAATGGATTAACTCATTAATATAGTGGAATTATGAAAGGCATGTTAATTGAAATCAAACATTGAAGGTGAAGATTATAATTTCCATTCAAACAACTCATTAGTTAATTAATCCAATGTAACAGTACAAGTGGTTTAGTATACTTATCAAACAATATACTAACAATAATAGTACTAGTTAGGGTGTTTGGATTGAGATAATTTG